TAAAATGCCCATACCCTTTGACTTAGGTATATATCCCAAGGAAATCAGTAAGCAGAAAGGCACCAAAATATTTGTAACAGTGCTTTTTGTGGTAGCAAACACCCAGAGACAAAGAAGATGCCAGTTGATTGAGGGAATGGCTAAACAAATGGTGATACATGAAGGCAATGAAATATATTACTCTACTGTAAGAAACAATGAATATGATAAGTACAGAAAAGCATGGAAAGACTCATATGAACTGATGCAAAGCAAAGTGGAACCATGAAAACAATGCATGCAATGACTACAATATCATAAATGGGAAGAACAACAACAAAGCAGCAGAAAGTGAAAGTTGCAAAATTACAAAGAATTAGCTTGCCTTCCCCTCCCCACCCCCCAAAGAAGTCATGTCAGAAGATACTCTTCTTTCAGAGGTGGGGATCCACAGGTATAGAACACTGCATATACTGTTAGATTTTTAAAATATGTTGATTAGTTTTGCTAAACTTTTTTCTCTTGTTCCTCTTTTTAAAATTTACACATTATGAGGAAGGACTCTCAGGGAGGGAAAAGGGGAAAGGATACAGTGTGAAATTTAGGTAACATAAAAATAAAAAATATCAATAAGAATATAATTTAAAATTTTTGTTTTAAGGGGATGAAATGTTGAATACTTACTGGTCACTTGGTCTTCCCCTACCCTCTTGAAGAGGGGCAGAAGGGTGGGCACTGGGCTTTTAACTAAAGAAACAGCTTCCCTCTTTTCTCCCCCCTTGGCAAGTAGTATCCTCTGTCTCTGGCTTTCCTGTGAGGGAGGTGAGGGAGAAAGCTTCACTAGATGCTGCACCCACTCAAAAAGAATCATGTAAAGAAGACCTGAAGGACATTATAGAATGGCATCTAGGGATTGGTCCAATGTGCTCCATCAGCCATAAAAAGTTGTCACTGGGCACAGTACACTACAATGTAATGGTTCCCAATGGGAACCCCTTTCAATAAACAACAAAAGGTGTTGTGAACCCTCAGGGCAGTTTAGTATGATGCTCATAATATTCTACAGTTGTTTATTTCTTAAGGAGTCCTTAAGGAACTTTAAGGGGCAGCTAGATGGCACAGTGGATGGAGCACTGGGCTTGGAATCAGAAAGACTCCTCTTCCTGAGTTCAAATCCATCCTCAGACACTTACTAGCTGTGTGACCCTGGGCAAGTCACTTAATCCTGTTTGCCTCTGTTTCCTCATCTGTAAAATAAGCTGAAGAAGGAAATGTCAACCAATCACTCCAGTACCTTTGCCAAGAAAAACCCAAAATGGGGTCACAGAGAGTCAGAGGTGACTGAAATGACTCAACAACCCCAAAAAACTTTAAGCAGGAACCCCAGTAAAAGACAACCACCAGTAGAATAGAAAAAGCACGACTTCTCCAGTCCAAAGACATGGGTTTGAATGTTGATTTCACCACTTAGTATGTCTGTGACCTCAGGCAAATAACTTGGGCTTCAGTTTCCTCTTTTGTAAACTAAGGAGGTTGGCCTGGTTGCTCTCCTCCCATCTCTAAATGCTTTGATCCCATGTGTGGCCTAAGGCATTGATTCTGTCTTATAGCATCAATGCCCAGACAGGTTTAAGATGGCATCCTTGAGGGCCCAAGAAGTTTTCTGCTCTGGCTCTTTGGCTCAGGACAGAAAAGATATGCTCAGTTCATGGGGAAATGGAAGCAAAGAAGAGATGCTGCCATAGGCTAGGCCGATGCCCACTGAAAGTCAGCAAAGGAGCTGGGAATTACTTTGCCCTGATCCCTTGATCTTGGTACTCAGTCCCATAAGCAGCACTGCCTAACTGGGGTCAGGCTTTGCAATGTGGCTTATTACCATGGGAACAACCACTCCCACTTTCAAGTTGCAAAACATCTGGTCAGTGCCCAACAGGGCCAGGGGAGTTAAAATAAGAAATTAAAGGCTATCTTTGTGGGTTTCTGACACAGCCCTTGCTGAATTTCATCTGGAAAAGAAACATGGAAAGAATGAGAAAAAGGGATGGAGAGGGGGATTTGATGTGGGTTGTCTGTGGAGTTAGGGTGTTAATTTCCTCCTACTACCTCCACCAAATTAAGAGCTGGATGTACAAATGTCCTGAATCAAGCAAAGAGAGGGAGAGTGAGAAAGATGTAGGGCCTTATGTGAGATTAAGAGAATTAAGCCCTTTCATAGTCTGGTTAACCATAAACTGGGAGGACTGGGACTGTGAATCGTTAAACAGGAAAGTGAGAGAATTCTGAGGCTGGACTGTGGGATATGTAAAAGTACAAAGACCTAGAAAGAGGTGTACTTAGAAAAGATTGATTCTGTACCTTGGAAGTGGAGGAAGGTGGGGGGAAGCACATAAATGTCATTAAACAGTCCAGCCCAGTGTTATGGTGATTTCTCTATTCCCGATGCCTTCCTCCCAGACCCCTTGAAATGATGGCCCTCCCTCTTGGCTGCTCCTTCCCTTTGTTTTAATAAAGGGCTGGGGGAGGGGTGCTAACTGGGAAGGAGAGACTCCGGTTTGCTCTAGACTCCCTTAAAGGTTGTGCAATCAGAAATCTCGAGGGGGCCTTGTAACTTTCCTGACTCATCTATCTCGACCCCAGGTGTTAGAACCAGTCTAGCTGGAGCGACTCTTTCAGAATGGTTAATTCACTGAGATGACACGAGGTCCCTAGAGTCAGTCCTGAGGCTGCCCTGATTTGAAGGCCAAAGACCCTCAGAACTCTGCATAGAGAAATCAGACTGTGTGGCCTGCACAAGGAGAAGCCAGGTGGTAAGTCATCTGGAAATTTCATGGCATAGATGACAATCCTCTTAGGCAGAAGAGGCCTTTATAGTATTGTGACGTGCCCCAGCTCAATAAAAACCCATCAGACTCTATTTGGAAGTGAAAAGGAGCTGGGGTGCGTGTCAGAGTGCAGTCGTCATGTTCTCCATACGACTGACTCGGAACCAAATTAGACTCAACATCCCATCCCTGGTGCTCTCTATGCCAACAGGCCTGAAGTGTGGGAAGGGCATTCATAACTCTGGTGCACAGACTGGGCAGCAGGACTGTGTTTAAGTCATGCACCTGCTCCCAGATGGTCTGGAAATGAGGCTGAAGCAGTCAATAGTGTTGGGGTTTTCCTCCTACGGTAGCTAAATATCTAATAACAAGAAAGCCAGAAGGCTCAGGGACAAACACTTTCCTAGAAACATATGACCCTCTTGTAATCTGTCACCGTTCAACCGCGAGCTAACTCCTGCATGCCCTGGATTACAGGCATCCTCATGGCCAGGGATGACATTACAAACCACAGACGCTTCTGCTTGTTTGTTTTTGTGGTCACCATGTCCCCAGGAGCCCTCTAGATATCGGTTACTCCACAGGCTTCCTTCCTTCCCCCCCTTTCCTCTTCTTCTAGGGAGAGGAGGCAGGAATAAAAGAGAGGGCTCACCACAGACTGATGGGAACACTGACAAATTCCATGCCCCGCTGGCTTTGTTTGGTATCGAGATCTCTCCTCTTCACTCCTCTTGACTTTACCAAGTCCTCTCACCACGTTTATTGGTTCCTTTGCTCTCTGTGACTCACTCTCGGCTGAAGACTTGCTCACGTAAGACTCCTCTTGGCTCTTCCACCAAAAGGCCCGACCGATAACCCACCATCCCCCTCCCCCAAATGTAAGGGCAAGTTAGCCCTCTCTGTGTGAGGCAGCGCCAGCTACCAAACCTCAAGCAACAGCCAGGAAGGTGGCTCCAGGAAGCAGACTCCGGGCTGCGCTAGTTTCTCTTGCTTCTCCGATTTGGATTTCAGAAGAAGGCGGGCAGATTAATCTAGTTGTATTACACAGAAACCAAAAAGGCAACAAAGCCCCACCATGGCGTGGTTTGCCGCATCATTAGCCTATCGTTGCCCATCTAGCTACCCGACACTGGATCCTTTCTGTTCCCTTCAAGGAGTGCTGACTGAGGGCTTCTTATCTGCTCAGACTCACTGTAGCTCTGTCAGCTGGAATTAGTCAGACACAGAACCCGGGGAAGAATCCGAGTACTCCAACTCAGAAACGTTTTCCTGCTTTCACAGGAATCTGCAACGACTAGTCATAGTGGGAACTCAAGAAACTCAAGAAATGAAAATAACCTTTTAAAAAATTTGTTTCTTGATTGTTTTCTAAGCATCTAACACTTAACCACTTCTCTCTTCCTTTTTGAAGCTCTCTCCTCCCTCAACTTCCATGACGCTACACACATGTTACATCTGTGGATTCACAGTGCCTAGAACAGTGCCTTATTCCTAGGGGGCATAGGAGAAGTATGCAGTGAATTTTAATTTGAATTTTATTGAACTACCTTTACTTCTATAGTTTCCTTTCTCATATCGTCATCCTCCCAATTTTGAGAAGAAAACTTTTTCCTCCAAATATTTTCTTCCCTCTCAAGCTGATTGTCAATCACAACAGCCCCAAACTTCTCAAGCTGTCCCTATTGCAAATGATCACAGTGCCAAGGTGGTATTTTTTTTAGCATTTTAACCAAGTTCTGATAATGTTTACATATCTGTATTATTTAGAGCAATGATCACCAAACTTTTTTTTTATGTTATACCCCATCAGTGGGCAGCTAGATGACAAAGTGGACAGAAGGCTGGGCCTGGAGTCTGGAAGACTTCCTGAGTTCAAATCTGGCCTCAGACACTTACCAGCTGTGTGACCCTGGGCAAGTCACTTAACCCTGTTTGCCTCACTGTCCTCATATGTAAAATGAGCTGGAGAAGGAAATGGGCAAAAGTACTCTAGTATCTTTGCCAAGAAAACTCCAAATAGGGTCACAAAGAGTTAGACACAACTGAAAAACAACAGAAACAACCCCATCAGTAAAAAAAAAAAAAAAAAAGAAAAGAAAAACAAAAACAAAAAACATTTTGAGCACACATTTCCCATTATGTATATATTTATTTATTTATAAATGCATATATTATCATATTAATGTTGGCATTCAAAAACCTACATGCAAAATGAGAATTTAAAAAAGAATGAAATAAAGATGAAATCATACAGGGTGTCTCTTAAAGCCATTTTAAACTAGTTTAAGCTGCTAAAGATTAATACTGCCCTAAAACTTTTGGGACAAACTCTGTTTGATCCTGGAGCACTGATGTTCATTAAATAGAGGAGCGTTTAGGATCAGATTTGTGCTTGAGGAAAATCATTTCAGCAGCTGCATGGAGGAGGACTGCAGAAGAAACTATAGTTTATGAAAACGTTGTCATTTTTGCTAATTGAAAATATAGAGGAAGCACTGTTCTGGCTTTCCGGATACAGTTTAAATATTTGGCTTTATGCTGTAAAGGGGTATGGCCATTCCATATTGTCTTTGGGAACTACATCACCCAGGATCCTGTGAAAAGCACAACAACTCTTGGCATACCCAGTTGGGAGGAAGAATAGGAGTTTTACTGTGGGAGGAGACAAGGGCTCAAGTCTAGGGTTTAAGAAGAAATTAGATGCCCTGGCATCTCATTCACCTTGTTGCTGAACCCTGAAGGCACAAACTCTGTGAAACATCCCTGTTCTTGGGCTGAGGAGAAACAATTGCCCTCTGTATTCTCCCTTACCATCAGAGAGCCCTTAACCTATGATACCATGCCTGAAAGACCCGCACATCGAATGCTGCTGCTACAGGCAGCCTGTGGGACCTGGCTGAGAAACCTGGTGTATTCAAAGCTACTTGTATAGATGGTAACCCAACATCCTGCCACGAATGACTTAATATATGCTGTTCCTGCTGGGTCTTGGAGGGGGCAAGAAAAGCCTAAGCTAATCAGTAGCTGAGACCAACATTCCCCCGAGAACCTAGATGGAGAGATGGTAGCTTTGAGAATGGATGGTGAAAGATTATCTACTGCTCGATTTAACATCTTGTTATTATTCTTCAAGTAAGTGTGCTTTGTTTTCCTCTAATGTCATGGGATTTAGCTGGGCAGGGAAGATTCAATGGAAATGGGGGCTTATGAGCAATAGGTAGAAATACACAATTAGCCCTTGAGCACTATGGACTTGGGAATAGTCCCAAGGGGGCAGCTGAGGGGTCCTGGGGAAAGCTAGGTGGCACAGTGGTTGGAGCTTTGGGCTTGGAATCAGGAAGGCTCATCTTCCTGAGTTCAAATGTGGCCTCAGACACTTACTAGCTGTGTGACCCTGGGCAAGTCACTTCACCCTGTTTGCCTCAATTTCCTCATCTGTAAAATGAGCTAGAGAAGGAAATGGCAAACCCCTCCAGTATCTTTGCCAAGAAAACCCCAAATGGGGTCACAAGGAGTAAACTAAAATGACTCAGCAACAAAGGGCTCCATGACATTTGAAGTACTATGATCTTCTGTGACGGGCGGTGGGCAGCAATGGAAAGGAAACTGACTTGCCGTCACTCAGAATAATCGGGTTCCTAGTTCTTATACTTGCTTGCAGTGTAACCCTAGCTAAGCCTCAATTATCTTATCTGTCAAATGGGTACATTAATACATCCTCAGGGTTATTGTGGTCTCAAAAGCTAATAATAATAAGCCAACATTTATATAGTACTTACTATATGCCAAGAACTTCACAAATATTATCTCTTTTGATCCTCACAACAACCCAAGGAGGTAGGTGCCACTATTACCCCTATTTTACAGATGAGGAAACTGAGGCAAACAGAGGTTAAGCGATTTGCCTAGGGCCACAGAGCTAGTAAGCATCTGAGGCTGGATTGAACTCAGGTCTTCTTGACTCCAAGCCCGGCACTCTGTCCAATGTGCTACCTAGCTGCCTCAAGCTGGCTCAAATGAGATCTTGTATATGAAACATTTTCTAATATACATAAAGTCATCATCACTAGGTAGAGGTAAGTAGATATTGTTCGAGGACAATATAAAAGAAACGGGAGAAAGATTCTTTTGTGCTCTGCCTCTGGCCTGGAAGGATGTTTTTTAAAAAATTATTAATAAAAAGACAGGATTTCAAACTTTTGAAAGTTGGCCCAATTACTGCAGGCTAAATATACCAAGCATTTTAGTAATTAATAATAGTCTTACATTAAATTATATTACATTTAAATGATTATGAATGGCCTTTGAAATTCTGGTCACCATCTGACCTGGTGGGAGAAGAGAGGAGAAAATCATGTTGCACTACCAGGGTTCGTGCTACCATGTCAATGTCAGAGAAATCTATTCCCATCCCTCCACCACTACCCCCACTCCACCCCCTATCCCTCGCTGCACACACTTCTTTTACCAGTAAAATATATCTAGGAAAGGCAGCGCAAGGAAGCTAGGGGGAGGGGGAATTTATATAAGTAAATGTGATAAATTAGCCCCTTCAGCTAAGCTGAATAATAGTAATCTCGTTCAGTGTGCACATTAATTAATTACCTGATATGTAGCAGGGTCTTTTTGGAATCTTCCAAATGGTTCCATAATTCCATGTTTTGTAATAGTGTGTCATTGGACAGCAGCTATTATGGTGGTTGATACAACCCAGAGCTACAGTTCTGAAAGTGTGGTCCATCAAAAGACCCTTTCAGAGGATTTGTGAATCATTTTTATAATAATACTAAACTGTTACTTACTTGTTAAAATACTCTTCCCCTTTCCAACTACATATCCGTGTGAGACCAGATTTTCTTCACATACTTCGATGAAAACAACCGGTCAAAACAACCTGGCTACAGAAGCAGATATAAGAATCCAGCTGTCTTCTGTGAAGCCAGACATTAAAAAGATTTGCAAAAATGTATAAAAAAATGTTACTCTTCTCACTTCTTTTTGTTTTGGAAAATACAGTTATCTTTCATTAAAAAACTGTTATTTACACGCAATGGGGTTTATTACTATTATTTTAAAATTAAGCCATAAACATATAATTGAGAGAAATTTTATTGGTTTTAATTTCTAATACAGCAAATATCAATAGATATAATCCATATAACAAAAACTCTTTGGGGTCTTCAATGATTCGTAAGAATATATAGAAGTGCTAAGATAAAAAATATTTGAGAACTGATGTTTTATGATCATTTTCATCAAAGCACCAGCAAACTACACATAGTTTATAGCACAAATTTATAGTGCTTTAAGATTTGCAAAGAGTTTTAATCATTTTATTTTGTTTGATCCTAACAATATCCAGTGAGATAGGTACTATTAGTTTCTCTACTTATGTTGTTCAGTTGCTTTAGTCGTGTCTGACTCTTTGTGAGCCTATTTGGGGTTTTCTTGGTAAAGATACCAGAGTGGTTTGCCATTTCCTTCTTCAGCTCATTTTACAGATGAGAAAACTGAGGCAAACAGGTTAAGTGACTTGTCCAGGGTCACACAGCTGGTAAATGTATCAGGCCGTATTTGAACCCAGGAAGATAAGGCTTCCTGACTCCACACCCAGCATGCTATCCACTTTGCTACCCAGCTATTTTAGAGATGAGAAAATGAAAGCCCACAGAAGTTAGGTGATCTGGGCAGTGTCACACAAGACTCAGGGTCAGTAAGTATCTGAGGCAGGATTTGAACTGCCATCTTCCTGACTCTAAGCCCAGAATTCTACCCACTATGCCATGTGAATGTAAATAGTAAATGTTTCTCTGTCGGCCAACAACCCTGAAGGTCTTCCCCTCCCAGTTTGATTTTTTTTTTTAATTAAAGGGGCCATCCCTTGGCTCACTTCTTAAATAGGCCTGAATGGGCACTGCCTCACTCAAAGTGAGAACTTGAAAAGAGCTTAGCTTAAAAGGGCCATGGTCTCCCACTGCATCCTGGTCCATCTTCAGTCATTCTGAACTATATCTGGCCACTGGACCCAAATGGCTCTGGTGGAGAAAGTGAGGCTGGTCACTTCGTATAGCCCTCCCTCACTCAAATCCAATTCATTTGCAAGTCATGTCATCATCTCCCCGATGTCATGGTCAAGAAAAAAGGACAAACCACACAACTATGCCACGTTGTCTCACACAGTCATAGCTGCTTCAAAGCAACACTTCCATCCCCATGTCAAGTGGCATGTGTATATTATTGACGCCAACTCCCGTGACCTTATATTTCTCCTAAGGATCTTTACATATCATTAATGGGATATCTAGTAGCATGCTTTCTGTCCCACTGAATTCTAATACAAATTATTGCCATCTAATTTCCATGAAACACATTCAACACGGAATTGTGACAGTCCAAGATTTCATTGCTCCTCTGCTACCTTCTCCAGTAGTGTGATGGAACTCACGATAATTGGCCTGTCCCCCCAGGTATGGCAAGGAGGGGTAGTCACTCCCTACCCATTTCACCCAGATGCTATCAAGCCTGTTCTTCTCCACTGGTACAGAGGCACAATATCTTCTCTCCTGATCTTCCCAATGGGAAAAAAAGAATTGGAATGCAAGATGATCAGTTACCCAATGGGTGGTACCAAGAGTGGCACTTCCCAAGGAACATTCTCTATATTAAGCCTGGACCCAGTCAATTTCCTTTTAGATTGTTACTGTCTGAGTTTGTCATCTATCATTCTCCAATCTTGGAGATGAGATCATTTAGTTCAGGATGGGTGTGGTGGGCGGTGATGCCACTAGTGTTGGTGACTTCATATGGCTTGTTCTTTGTAGAGCTCTATTGCTCGGGAATATAGATCCCTTTACCCATCACTTCAACTCTTCATTGTCCTTGGAAAGTCCCAGGTATACGAAATTTGTCAGGAGCCACAATATTGACGCTCATTCAATAGTTTTTTTTTTCCCAGACCAGGCCTTCTTAATCTGCCAAAGTAGGAAATTTACAGATTAGATACTATGGTTGTTCAGATGTCCATGTTGTCTGGTTGTTGTTCTTAATTCTTGAAGAGGACCAAAATGACACTACTATGTTGGGGTCAAGGTACAGTGTGTCTGACTGTGGCTGATCAGACCTCTTTGAGCTCCATGTATTTAGTCATTAAAGCATTGATTCTATTAGTTTTAGTCCTTCTTATTAGTTGGCAACACCTGTAGACAGAATTCTGATCTCTGTGTACCTCCAGTCCCAAAGCCCATCAGTATAGGACGGCCCCATGCTACACGTGCGGGGGGATGCTCCTTGATCTACATGAGACCCCATTACATATGTATATGTGTGAACGTGGTATGGGAGCCTGCTTCTCACTGAAGAAAAGAGAGAGACAGAGGGAGAAAGACAAATGGAGAGACAGTGTATATATAATATTCTGATAGAGAGCTGTGCCTCATTTTTGCCTGGCATTGCCTCCTGGATTGTGGAATGATTGTTGCTCAAAAAATGGTGAGAAGAGGTGCCCTCCCCCATTTGCCTGGCCTTCCTCCCAACAATAATAACAACAAGGAAAAAAGAAAAAGCTCAAACAACAAAAACCCAACCCCATAGGCACCTACTATTTCCCTCTCTTATTTAGGGGGATGTGTTTTCCTATTTTCCTCAAAGATTACTTAATCTTTGTGGTGGGGGTATTATCCTCTACAGCCACATCAGCCCTGTCATTCCTCCGATCCTTGGTCTGCTTAGTAATTGTTGAATAAAGGAGTGGGAGGCGGAGAGGCTTTTATACCAGTTTGGTGGGAATACTGCCAGGCTTGTGTGTATGTAGCAATAGCTTTATGAGAATTCTATCCCTGAGAATGCCACAATTGGAGGAGGGGAGCCCAGGCATTCCTGGGTTTCCCTACCCTGAGTACTGCTGCCACTACAAACCAGCATTTCTAGTTACTTCAATAAATTCAGAGTTTTCATGATGTAAAGGAAAATGGGATCTGGAGAACTGGAGATGTCCAGAGGCCAGAGTCTCAATCAATATCAATCAATAAGCATTTATTAATGCCTACTATGTGCCAGGCATTGTGCTAAGCCCTGGGGACACACACAAAAAAAGGTAAAAGATAGTTCCTGCTATCAAGGAGCTCACAATCTAA